TCTTTTTTTTTTTTTTTCTTTGTTTTCCCTTGGTTGATTGTGGTCTAGAAGATGACATGTTGAATTTCTTCTCATGCAGGTTCTTCTACTGGAGGAGTACTTGGTGTGGCTCCTACATCCACGTTTCCAAATCTAGTCAACCAAACTATGCCCAACATGCCAAATTACACGGGGTCTTTTTCTGGGGCCACCCCTGGCTTATTGGGAATGATACCTGGTGCTGTTTCTGGCACTTCTGGTGGTGTTATTTTGCCCGGAATTGGGGCATCCCTTGGGGAAGTTTGTCGGGAGTACCTGAATGGTCGGTGTGCTAAAACTGATTGTAAATTGAACCATCCTCCCCATAATTTACTTATGACTGCTTTGGCTGCAACTACCAGCATGGGGACTTTGACTCAGGCTCCTATGGCACCTTCTGCAGCTGCAATGGCTGCTGCTCAGGCTATTGTTGCTGCTCAGGCCCTTCAAGCTCATGCTGCTCAGATGCAAGCACAAGCTCAGTCAAACAAAGATTTATCTGGTATGTTTTATGCTTTGCTTCCATCAGTTGCTACTCTTTTACCTGTTTTAACAGTAATGTTATATGGGCCAAAAGGGGGAGAAATGCCATGTGGCATTAATCAACTGGATGCATACCGAATTGTGGGTTGATCTTATTGAAAAGAGCCAATCATGGTGCTTCTCCCTTTTTTGGCCTAATTGTCCTTTTCCTGTTCTTGAACACTATCATTTGTTTTTCTCCCTCGGTGTTCTTTACTTTAATTTTTTAGCAAGCTAACATTTTTGTGCTTTCAGATTCTTCTGATAAAGCTGCAAAGGATGAAGCTTTAAAAAAGACTCTGCAAGTTAGCAATCTCAACCCGCTTCTCACAGCAGAGCAGCTGAAGCAACTATTCAGTTTCTGTGGTACAGTTGTTGAGTGTACAATCACTGATTCAAAACATTTTGCCTACATAGAATACTCTAAACCTGAGGAAGCAACTGCTGCTTTGGCACTAAACAATATGGACATTGGGGGTCGACCATTGAATGTGGAGATGGCTAAAGCACTTCCTCCAAAACCTTCTATTTCATCATTGACTTCATCTTCCCTTCCTATGATGATGCAGCAAGCTGTTGCTGTGCAACAGATGCAATTTCAGCAGGCTTTGCTTATGCAGCAAACCATGGCCGCACAGCAGGCAGCAAATAAAGCTGCAAGCATGAAATCTGCAACAGAGTTAGCAGCTGCAAGAGCTGCAGAGATAAGCAAGAAGTTAAAAGCTGATGGACTTGTACCTGAAGGGGATGACACAAAACGTGCATCTAGGTATTTTCACTTATCTGTTCTTTTTGAGACAAGGATTTGTGGATAAGGATTTAAGATCCTGTTTGGCCTAGCTAGAGCTTTTGTAATAGTGTTGTTTGTGTCATGCTTTTGTAGTAAATGCTGAATTATGAAATTTATATAATTATTCCCTTGTTTAAAGCAACAGAAATTGAAGTCTCCCTTCCTTATTTGTATATCAAATATTTAAGATGAGGTGTGTCTTTTACGAAGTCTTTTTTACACCGTTTTTAAATTAATTGAAGTTGGGTTAAACATTTATTCACTATTATAGGTCCCCATCAACATCTCGTGCAAGGTCAAAATCAAAGTCAAGATCACCAGTTAATTATCGGCGGAGGTCAAGATCCAAGTCAAGATCACCCATCAGTTACCATCGAAGACGGAGATCTCGTTCTTATTCCCCTCTGCCTCTCCGCCGACGAAATTACAGGTCTAAATCACCATTGAGATCTCACCATCGCTCAAGTTATAATGGTGAACGACGATCATATAGAGAGTTTAGGGATAGCAGTGATAGGAGTTGGAAGCGGGATTCAGATAGATCAAATGACCATTACTCATCTATTTCAAGGAGAAATAGGAGTAGAAGTGTTAGTCCTCAAACAAGAAAATCACATAAAGTTGATTCCGGCTCACCAAGACATCGCAGAGAAAGTTCACCACATGGGAAAAGAAAATTGTCCAATGCTGGTTCAAAATCTCCCAAGCATAATAGGGGAAATAGGTCATCCCCAAGGAATGACAGTGAAGAAAAACAAATATACAGAAAGTGCTCTAGGTCAAAATCTCATGAGGATTCTGATGACAAGGTAGATGAAATCCAGGATGAAAAGTTGGAAAGTCAAGGACGTAGGCGTTCCAGGTCATTATCTGCAGAAGGTAAGCATCAAAGAAGAAGCAGATCATCTACCAGAAGCTCAGATGAAAAGAAAACAAAACACAGAAGGAAGTCCAGGTCAAAATCTGTAGAGGGTAAGCATCATTTGCGTGATACTGTAGATGAAGATGATGAATCAAAACCCCGTGATAGAAGACGAGCTAGGTCAAGATCTGCTGAAGGTTTGCATCACACGAAGGACAATCGAAGCAGGGATAAAAAATCAAAGCATCATGATAGAAGAAGGTACCGGTCAAGGTCTGCTGAGGTCAACAAGCATCACAAAGGAAGCAGGTCATCTAAAAGTTTAGAGGAAAATAAATCAGAACATAGGAGCTCTAGGTCCAAGTCTCTAGAAGGCCCAAATAACTCAAGTGACAGATTAGATGAAAACAGAAATGAAAGATCAAAGCATCATGACAGAAAGAGCTCAACATCTGCTGAAGGTAAGCACCATAAACAAAGTAGATCTTCTCCAAGAACTTCTGAGGACAGAAAATCAAAACATAGAAGGCACCCTATATCTAAGTCTGCTGGAGGTAAAGCATTATTTTGATGATAGGGATCAGAGAATGCTAGATTTTAAATAACATGTAAAGAAAATTGGATATTGTGATGAGATGCCTAATCCTATTGTGCATGTCAATGACAAAACAGATGATGGGATATTGCTTCCAAAAGAAGTAGATGATTCAAGAGCACCATTGAATGATGACCAAGATTTGAAGAGCACATACTTGAAAAGTGCAAGCACTAATGGAGGGGACTCATTGTCAGCGATCAGCACGGATTGAATTCAGAGGAGCTGAGCTAACTTGATGTGACAGGTACAAAAACATCTTTGATAATATTGGTAGTTAAATTTGTGACCAAAAGAAATGCCTGAGAGAGAGAGAGAGAGAATTTGTGACTAACGGTAATTTGTTTTTATGTTGTCCTTTACAGGATGTTAAAATCATTCCATTTCTCTAGACAGAAGATAGCCATGAGCTCTAGTGTAGCCAGATCAGATAATGGGCTGTCAGTGACTCCTTGAACCATGTTGTCTCACTTCCAATTCAGGCTTGTCGAAATTCAAGCTTTTTCGGAATGGATTACCATTTTTTATTATTTTGGATTGAGCTTTGGGTTCCCATACAAAGGGGGTTCTGTGAATTGTTATCTTTCTGTGGTGCTCGGATTTTTCTGCCACTTGTTGGCACATCATAAATGTACGTGTCTTGTGCCTCTTATCTTTTGCAGGATAAATTGAACTGGTTGGACCTTGAGTATCTGAGCTGATATTAAAATGGATAAAGTATCTCAAGCAGTGTTTTGCTTCCACCTACAGTCAACCATGCACTGTTTGTATCAAGCTTCTGCTATGTGTATGTTAGACTTTTTTTTCCTCTATTGATAATTGGTGAATTTATCGATTATTTATTCTAAGCATTATTCCCAACCTTTTCCCCTTCTTTTTAAGTTTTCCTTCATCTCTTATATATACTTATTCATGTATGTTGCATGGTTGAGTAAGTCCTTGGTCCTTGACATAATGCAGTCATGACGGGTTCATATTGAGCATTTAAACATGCTTGATAATGAGTGGGGAAAATATTCATTTTCTAATTCACCCTTAATCATGTTTGTGCTCAAAAACACCTTCTACTGGTCTTTATTTCCTTGATTTCCTACCACTATTGTGTCTTGTCCTCTAATTAATGGAAGCTCATAGGTTGAATTTGTATTTATCTTTGATAGTCTGGTGGTGGTGGAGCTGTTGTTATATCCCCAAATCATGCAGCTTGCAGGTTATACATGGTCTTTTCCTGTTGGAGCCATCTAGGATCTGGTTTGCGCTTTGCAGGATTGATTTTTACTGATTTAAATAAAGGTATGCAGTTACAATGTAGCAGAGGGATTATGCCATAAAGTTTTTCTTTGTTTTGGAACTTCTTTGGTAATGTTGAGATAAATGCAATAAAAATGGATGCGTTTCTCTGGTACTGTCAGCAATACTTCTATTCTTTACAACTATATTATAGAGTTGGTTCCTTACACTTGTCCCATCTTTTTCCTTTCCCCTTTATTTTTTCATTTTTCTTTTCCCCCCCTTTCTGTCTTCTCTCCTTCCCAAGGAAACTTCTTGGCTGCACACACTGCTTTTAAGGTCCGGTGTAAGCACTAAGCAGAGGTTGCTGGGATAACTAATGTCTCAATTTGCATCATGTTGGAGTATGAGAAGATTCGTTGAGTCACTTTATATAATATCATGGTTTTGGACAGGTAATTCCATGACACTGGTTTGATGTGTTCTTCTATAATAGGATCAGTCAGTTACGTAGGCACGCGTTTATGCTATGGATATTAAAAATCTATCCGTGGTAACTTCATTTTAGTTTGAGCAGCTGCTTTCTTTATAGGCATTTGCTATGCGGTTGTTTCTAGTCGTCTTTTGATTTGATGATACATGCTGTGTGTGGATACAAAGCATTGACTTGGGTCAGGTCTACTGAGAGTATGCCAATGTGAATTTTCTTCTTCCTTGAGGAATGATGATATATTTCTTTTATGATGCCTACTTTTTTTCCACTTCCATGTTTTACTCTCCCATTTTTCTCCCTTTTCATTTGCCTTTTTTTTCTGTCTTTTTCCTCTCTTTTTTTCTTTTTTTTTTTTTTTTCCTGTTTCTGTTTCTTGTTAGGATAAGGCATGGATATGATGGGTATGAGAGCTCGGCCTTGCCCTCAATTTTGGCGATCATGACTTGCATCAACTACGTGCATAATATTATTGCATCCCATCAACTATTCCTCAATCCCTTTTCTTTCTGCCTTTTGTTCGTGCTTCCCTCCCCATTTTCTCTTCTTAATTTTTTCTTTATTGGTTGGATATGGTTTAGGAGCTATAGTTGATTTTGATTTCTTTAAAACAGTTGATTTTGATCTCAAATTGTTGTACTTTGACCGATTGAAAATCATAATACCTTGATCTTAACTTTGTTAGACATGAAGTGAGTTAAAGTGTAATAAAAAAATAATATAATTATAATATTACGTGATATTGTAAATTTATAATTTATATAATTATATAATTAATTTTTTTTATTTAAGAGTTCATATATATAATATTCTATATAATTATTTACGTAATGACACATTATAATTTTAAATCTATAATCTTATTTGATGTCGCTAACCGAGGGTGAGATTTATTGTGTTCTATCAACGGGCTCAAAATTCCTCATTTCTCTACCCTTTAGATTTAGATTTAGATTGTAGGAAATTATCTTATGGGTTCTGGATTATAATGAAACGGGGAAATTTTAGTGTTGGGTTATGGCATACAAATGTCTTTTGCCCCTTAATATGCCACCAAAATTTTGATATTTTTAAATAATTTTTGAAACTATTAGTTTGTTGAGAGATTTTAATTTGTTAGTTAATAAACATTAATTGCGTTATTAATTATTAATTAATAATTATAATTATTAATTATTTTTATTAATTAAATTAAATTAATATTTTTAAATATAATTTATATATTTATTTATTTAGCCTTATGAAAAAGTTAAAATATAAATTAGATTTTTTATAATAAAATAATTAATCAAAAGAATTAGATGGTTATAGGATTAAAGTAAGGAAAAAAATATTTACTTATATTAAAAAGGAAAAAAAATAAATAAACTAACTCAAGTAATAATGACAATTATTTTGAGATATTTAGAGTATTAAACACAAATATTATTCCTCTACTTTCAATATTTGTTCATTGTCCTCCTTATGTGTATAAATTGTTTATAGTTCTCCCTCTCTTCTTCCAAACCATACCGATGTCCTCCCTCTATTTTAATTCTCTATTACATTTACCTCCCTCCCATAACATCATTAAATGTAATAGTTCATGTTTTTTGTTGCATTGTTTTTGTGGCCTTATAAAATTTTATGGTATTTGGCTCATGGTATCATGTGTTCTCCCAACATAAATAAAAAATTTTCACTCCTATTATTCTTACATGCACTTTTTTTATGCCATTAAAACTATTATTAATAGCATTTTTTTATATAAACAATTACATATTTTAGTACTAACTTTAAAAAAAAAAATTGTAATACTTTAAATAAGAACCACAAAGGGCAAAAAACATCAGTTTTTTTTAAGTTAGAAATAAAGAATTTCAAGAAATCAAAAACAATATTAATAATCCATCAAATTTTAGACAAGATTACTGTATTCATATTCTGCTATGCCAAGAAAATTATGTATGAAAATAAGAAATTAAAAAAGAAAAAGATAATAAAAAATTCATATTTATACACAAAAAATCTATACCATAACTAGTTGTTACTTCGACAAAGGGGATATTTCAAGTCTACTTATTACTTCATCAAGGAGGTTATCACTAGTTTCCATGAGAGTAATCTCCATCGCTTTTGGGTTCAAGTATGATCTTTTATCACTGTTAATTTAACTCTAAAACAAATCACATTGTTGTTTATTTTTATTTGATTCTATGTTTAAATTTGTGAGGCTATGGTAACAAAGAGTCCACAAGAGAAAAATACAAAGATTGGAGAACATGTGTTGGTGGATTTGGAATTTGGCTCGCAAGAAGAAACAGGTTTTGCCTTTAATTTATTTTTTAAAATTTCTTATTTTTATGTATAAATTTTCATATAGCAAGATATGAATATGATGATTCGAGTTTAAAATTTAATGAATTATTAATGTTGTTTTTGATTATGTGAAATTTTTTATTTTAAATTTAAAAGAAAAAAAAAAGTTAGATTTTTTTTGTCCCCTGCTCATTTAAAATATTGTAAGAGGATGATTTTTTTCTCTAAGAACCAATATTAATATTAAAATATGTAATTGTTTGTGCAAGAAAATACTATTAATAATAATTTTGAAACTATAAAATGAAATAAATATAAAATTGATGAAAATAACAATTTTTTATCTACATCGATAGAATACACGGCACCATCAACAAAATACTAAGAAATTTTATGAGGCATCAAAATAATGCAACAAGAAAACATAAATTATTACATTTAAGAAATTAAAAATAGAGGGACTACAATTAGCTTTGACCCATTGTATTTTCAAAATATGACTAATTATATTGACTAGAAAAGTAGAAACCATTTTTCTCGATAAAGAAAAATGAAAAACATGAGAACATTGTTGTTCAGAGTTCATACTTGACTTGACTACTTTCAAATAAACACGATGTTCACTTACGTTGAAAATCTGTATTGTTATATGAATAATTTTTTAATATAATTTTTATATATTATTAAATAAATAAATATATTTAATATTATGAAATTTAAATAAATAAATAAATAATTTAAATAACATAAATTATATTAAAAAATAATAATAAATTATTTTTTCAAAATCATTTTCCATTGAAAATATATTTCTGTTATAATCTTACATCGTGTTTCGTATCTGAAATTAAATTTTCCGAGTAAAATCAGGCTGTTTTCATTGCATATCTCTTCGAAATTATTTTCCGTGGAAAAAGGAATCCAAACGGACGCTATAACATCTAATCAGAAAATTTGAGTCTTGGGTAGGGGTGGGTCAAAAAAATTTTTAACAAAAAAACCTTTTAAATTAATGAAAATATATAATTAATGGATAGAATTGGTTAGGTTTTGGATTTATTTAACTAAATTAATTTAATTTAATTTAAAACAATTTAACTTTTGATTATTAAGTTTAAAA